TTGTAAATGTGCTTGGATGTGCTATGGTGACAGACTAAAGCCCCCAAGTGTCCCTGAGCAGGTAAATATGCATTGGCTGCAGGTATGACTTTTTTTCTCAACAGCTAAATGGGCCATTTATCAGCGGGGTCAGTGAGGACTTTTAGCCCTGGTTGTCAGCACAATTTGGCATCTCTTTTGCAAAACAAGTCATTACAGCTTCAGAAAGTCAACTGTCTCACAACACCTGAAGTTTCGATGAATAAATATTATTTCTAAACTGTGATGGTGATGATAAACGGCGGGACATTTCATGTCATATCATTCTTTGTCTACACCTGTGTTTTTCAACCCGTGTGCCGCGGCACACCGGTGTGCCGCGAGACATTGTCATGTGTGCCACGGGAAAATATCCAATTTGTATGCCTGTGCGGTCTTTCGCCCAGAAAGTAATCATGTAGTACCCACCCATACCGCTAGGGAGTAGCAACGGCTAGCCAATTGCCTTGTGTTTCGACGAGAGACAAGCGAATTTGTGACGCATGAATGCAGGACGACGGTGAAACAATAAATATGAAAGATGATAAAATCCTGTTTTCTTTGTGTTCATTTGATTCCAATTCAAGCTGTTATAACGTCATTCTTCAATGTTAAAAACGGTTATAGTAACAATATAACACGTTAATTGGTAAAATAAGCGTTGGGGGGGGTCACATTTTTAGCTAGTGGTGTGCCGCGAGATTTTTTTCAATGAAAGAAGTGTGCCTTGGCTCAAAAAAGTTTGAAAAACACTGGTCTACACCACTTCTCTTCATTAAGGTCACAGGTGAGATGGATCCTATCCCAGCTGACTTCGGGCAGTGGGGGTTTCACACCCTGGACTGGGCACCAGCCACACTGCTAAATGTGGAATGTCACATGAACAAACCCCGTAAACCATGATCATTGACTTCTTATGTCTGCTACAATAACTACTAAGACAATGTGTTCATAACATGACTGTTTGAGGCCAAATTTGCCCAAAAAATGCTTATGGCTGATGTCTTTGGACAAATGTGAAATACATGTATATCAACACCTAAACATGAAGTAATCCTTAATGTTGGCTATTGTCATCTTTGGTTGCTCATTGTGGAGGTTTAAAGTTCCCACGAGTGTTATGTCACGGTCCCCTTCACCACTCACCTGGGTGAGGAGGAAGTGCTTTTGTACTTTTTGCTGAATGCAAACTGGTAAGTAGGCTGCGCATTTACCAGATTGGAGAGTGCATTTGAACAAACAGCCATTTGCACTCACATTCACAGCTATAGGCAATGAATCACATCACGCAAGCTGCTTACCCTTTGCCTGTGTTGGACGTGGTCTGTGCAGGCTGAAAGTTTAGATCGACTTTCTGCCATTAAATTGGCACTCCGCCTGGCGCATCTCCAAGACACTCCTTCTGCTGCATTGGCCACAGCTAGCCAAATTGGCAAGTGCGCAGCAACCCTTGCACCCATACGAAAATCAAGATCCATCAACATTGGCACCATCGTGTAGGTGCTTTGTCAGTGGAAATAGAGCCCCAAGTACTCTAGTTTTGTAACTGCCATAAATCGAGCACAGCACACAATGTATTTCTGGGCAGGGGTGAGTTGGACCCATAATTGGCAATTTTACAGGTGAGCGTGGGCCAGCAGACATGCGAGATGGAGGGCTGCACCGCTGTGAGAGTGGTCACAGCCGAATTCAATCATGGACAATGAAAGCCAATCATTGCCTTTAAATGTGGCGAGTCTTGACATGTGCCGTGAAGTGGGCACTTTGAGAGTGCCCGCCTACCCCAATCGTTGGTGTACCACCCCCATAGCTCTGCCACCCAGTGTAATGATTTAAGAAATACAACACACTGATTGAGAGAGTTTGATGCCTACTGTTCACATATTTACAAGGTCATGGCCTCACTATACAGGAACACCCTGGTTGGTGGAAGCTGGTCTGCCAAATAGGCAAACATGTCAGGGTCACAAACCTTGTGTTCATCCGTAAAAAAGAATACACCGGAATTTGCATCATGGTCCAAGTGGAAGTGTTAAATCTAGTGACTGTAGTTTATTATAAGAAATATGACTATGAGTAAGCACAACATCAAATCCACTGGCTGCGAAAACAGATATAAAGGCAGCGGTGACATAAATTGACATATTTCTGCTCTGGTTCTTATTTCAAATTGAGCCTTTGTTATTCTGTATGTTTAACAACTTTATTGAACTACTTTATTCTGATAACTCTGTAAAAGATCATTTGACTGAACAGCTTCCAAACAGGCAGTCAAGAAAAAATCTTTCATTGTTGTGCAAGTCTTTGAAAGCTTTATACTGAACAAAACATGAAAACTGCAGAGTTTCTTTTTTTACGGCGGCAGAATAAATGTCATGTAATGGTTATAGGACAATAAACCACCAGGGACTCTTGCGCTCCATAATGACTACGATTAACTAAAATCACTACATGTGTTAATACCATAGCATCAATCATTTTGTTTTATAGCTATTCATCAATAACCATCTATTTTAATTAAATATCACCATTTTTTCACTTCTTAGTGCGGACACAACTAAGATGAAGTTTTGAACATTATTCATAAAAGTATATTTCTACAGAATGCCATGAATACATACGCCTATTAACCATTTAATATTGAGTTCAACAACTAACAGAGAATTTATTCACTGCTGATCATTTTGACTGGGAAAGACTATTAACTGAGTAATAGTGATGATCAACTCATTTTTTTTAACATTACCTTGTATGGCATTAAAAGGGACACACAAACTTTCTGGCCGCATTGGGTGTCCTTTGACGGCCATGGGAAAACTTCTGAGAAATAAGCATAAATAACTCAGTTTGCAACATGGCCGGGCCATATGGTCCAAATCTGCACTACAAACACTGTCCGTGCATGTGACACTATCAAAACCATTCAGCTTTGTTCTGTGGCTCGAGATGATACAGGCTCTTTTCACACTCGGCTCAGCAGCGCAGCACTAAGAATATGCCTGACCCACACAGTTTGCTTGAAAAATGTTTTGGATTGTGCCTCTTGCCATAAGCCACATTACGTAAGTCCGAAGTGTGAGGCACAAAGTGAAGATGGCCATGTGCCAGGCTGGGGCTGTCCCTGTGTTTGGTTCAGAGTGAAAATATCGTGTATTAATAGTTCCTGCGAGAATATATACACGCGGTGCAAAAAAGTAATTACATTCTGCTGCAGTGATTATGAGTTGATGAGAGCTGGCTGGGTGAGTGACAAGGTGCAGTGTTTGGGTGCTTGTGTTGCACTCGTAATCTTTTATGACTATAAATGCTGATGTGCTGCAGGGATCGGTCAAGATACATATTGGGTTTGACTTTGGTTTTCAAATTTTTAAGCCAATCGTTTTCGACATTCAATGCAGATGCATGTGACATTAAAAAGTGGCTCATGTCTTCACTTATAAACTGGTCTACATAATATTGCATTAAGGTGGTTTCGTGGCATCCTGCACGTTTCGGATATTTCCCTCCTGTAACACACCTGATTCAAATGATCAGGCTCTTTTTGAGACTTTTGCTTAATTCGTATTCCACGGAAGCAATATTAATCAGAAGACTGTTTTTAGACCAGTGGGGGAGCATAGAACACAGTGTAAAAAAAAAATAAAAAATAGAAAAAATTATTTGACTTCCCCTTTAAGCTCAGTGGTGCTTTGGGCTGGTTACAGTGAAAAGTCATTCAAACGTGCAGTTTAAGATACACCTTGTGACGGTCAACCAAAGCTCCACATTTTTAATGAGGTGTAAGCACCTACCCTTGCCTAGTATAACTTTACAGTGCTCATCTTTGCATTTAATTGGTCATGTTACTGCACCGACAGATTCTCCCTGATCTGTCATTTTTTTTTAATGACTTTTGACCTAAATGAATTCGATGTTTCTGATTATCTATTTTTCTTGCATTGTTATTTTTTTCAAATTGATCATCACCTTTCTTCCTTGCTTGTCTGGGCGAAAACATGACGTGTTTGCCCATTCCAAATTCACTTTTATTCACAGAATGTGTTTCTTTTTTATAATCCTGTATCGTGGCCAATCCAAAATTTGTGCAATTATCATGTTCTTGACTAGGATCTTAACACATAAATAAAACTGCCAATTGGATGGATTACTATCTTGCTTATATAGTGTGCACCAATACAGCTCGTCAACAATTATGAGAAACATAAGCCATGACTTTCAACATAGTTATGCATTGTTACATTGTTAAAACAAATATGAGCATGAACAAAAAGGTTGTTTACTTTTGTATTGAATGTGACCATTTTGAGCATTGGAAGCTACGACGTGCCTTACTCAAGTTCATCCATTTTGATGTAACAAAAAAATTCATTACATAGCCTTACTCAAGTTCATCCATTTTGATGTAACAAAATATGTAATGAATATGCCAACAGAATTCAGAGGGCAACTTGTCATGTGTGTGTTGAAAAGAAAAAGTTTGTGAGAAAATATATTTGGTATTTGCTTGCTTGTCATATTTTATGTTCAAGGTTAACACGCTTCTACCTCATCTGATATGGAACATCAGCCGCTGGTCAGTCATGATTTTAGGAAATATTTCTGCAGGTCAGACACCAGAAAGGAGATGTAGCTGTTTCAACTCACTTTTAAAACACCTCATGACCCTTGTCAGGTGATACACCAGTTATTTTAGAACAAAAGTTTTGTTTAGTTTTTTTTAGTAATGAAATTTATTTGAAATCATATTAGATCTAAAAAAACAGGAAAGACAATCAAGAATGAGAGTGCATATTTAATTTTGCAAATACCTAGTATCTTTTTAGCAAATGTATTGTGTTTTATTTCATGTCATTCAAGCATTAAATTTGATGAAAAATATGTGTGTTGCAACTGGTACTCTTATAAATCAGTGTAAATATTTGGCTGCGCATCATCATCATCATAATTAATGTAGTGAGCAGGGGAAACACCAGGCTACATACCTTGGAAGACGTCCACATCCAGATGAGATAGTAATAGTCCTCTTGAGAAAAAAAAAAATGTGCACCAAGTCCAGCGAACGTGGGGAAGTTGCTCACAACTCCCTCACAAGGAGTTTCCTCGATGGAGTCTTTTTTTTTTTTTTTTTGCTTCAATGTTCCATTTGTGTCCGCGTAAAGGGATATTATCATTTGGAGGTGACTTCCAGTAAATGTATTTGGGGAGACTGACGTCATGTGCTGAGGCCTGTTCATTAAAAACATGGAGGGACAAGTCCTTCCTCCTGCTGTGTTTAAATGTGGTGATTCCTGTGCTTAGCTCTCAGAGTGGGTGCACATGTACAACACAACATGATTTCTAGCCCTGGTTTATGTGAAGATTGCTAAATGCACTGCCATTTCAATGAGCTGCACGTCATATAAGTATCGGAGCTTGAGGAGAGTAAATCAACTTTTACGCTGAATTTTTATGACATTTCAATTAGGGTAGGTGGTCATTTTCATTGGTGTGGATTAAGAATATTTTCACCTCGTTTTAAGCAGTCTATGTTAATGTTCTTCAATGATAGAAGGATGTCTGCCAGCCTACACTCTTTGCCCCTAAAACATGTCAATCCAGCACAAACTCCTCTTGAGTGCAAAACAAAAGAAGGCTTTACTGCATAAGAGCAAATTGGCTATCAATACTCTTCCTGCTATTGACAGATGAAACTCATAAAGTGCGAGTGCAGAGCTTCTTTTCTATAATTATATGTGTAATTTGGAAGCCAGCTAGAGTTCGAAAAATGAATTTGGCATAAATTGGTCCAAATGTTATTTGGAAGATGTACATGGAACTATCGCGTCACCTGGTAACCATGGCGACCTCCCCGTGTTTGTGGAGCAGAGGAAGAGGGCGGAGGGTTGGGGGGCTTCATGGCCCGTGCGTAAAACTTGTTTGGGTGGCTAACAATATAGATGTCGGGTATATTTGTATTTTCTCCGGGAACAGGAAAAGAAAATTAAAAAAATATTTGTAATCACACGTCAGTCTGAATGGATTTTGAATTCGTGCTGTTCCTTCTGCTGATGTCTGTGCCGTTCCCCTTACTGGGGCTTTTGTCCAGGCCGCACAGAGACTCCGTCACCCCTTCTTCCATCTCCATATACTCCGCTTTGTCCCCCAGCGAGGAGCCGGAGGGCGAGCCTTTAAATTTGCGCAAAAAGTCCGGGAAGTAGGGGCATCCTGGCGGCATGCTCTCAACCACCGGTTGCGCTTGGTCCTCGTTGTTGTCGGTCTCTCGGTGGTAAAAATAGTTGAAGTTAGACACGATGACCGGCACCGGTAGCGCGATGGTTAACACGCCCGCGATTGCGCACAGGGAGCCTACTATCTTGCCACCCACGGTGATGGGCTTCATGTCCCCGTAGCCCACCGTGGTCATAGTCACCACGGCCCACCAGAAGGCGTCCGGGATGCTGGTAAACTGCGAAGTGGGCTCGTCCGCCTCGGCGAAGTAAACTGCGCTCGAGAAGAGGATGACGCCGATGACGAGGAAGAATATGAGCAGGGCCAGCTCCCTCATGCTGGCACGCAGAGTGTGGCCCAGGATCTGGAGCCCCTTAGAGTGTCTGGACAGCTTGAAGATGCGGAAGACCCTGACTAGGCGGATTATTCTCAGTATGGCGAAGCTCATCGCCTGTTGCCCGTTGCCTTGGTGCTGCGCCAAGTCAGTGCCCAGGGTTATGAAGTAAGGCAAAATGGAAACAATGTCAATTGAGTTCATGATGTTTTTAAAGAACGCCGTTTTGCTGGGACTCGCAAAGAAGCGGACTATAATCTCAAAGGAGAACCAAATAATGCACACTGTCTCCACGATGAAAAAGGGGTCGTTGAAGGGGGTAAATCCGTGGTCCGGCTGCGTGGAATTGTGTCTGGCCTGCAAGTATTCTTTGTCATCCCTGAACTCGGGCAGCGTCTCGAGACAGAAAATGACGATCGAGATGACAATAACCAGCACGGACACCACTGCGATGCCCCTGGCCGGACTGGAGCTCTCCGGATATTCGAATAGCAACCAAATTTGGCGCTTGAACTCGTCCTCCGGGAGAGGCTTCTCCTCTTCCTTGACAAAACCCTCATCCTCTCGAAACTTGAGGATCGCCTCCTCTCCAAGTTCATAAAATTTTACCTCCTCGGAGAAGATGTCAAACGGGACGTTGGCGGGTCTTTTCAAGCGTCCCCCAGACTGGTAATAGTACAGAATAGCGTCAAAACTCGGCCGGTTCCGATCGAAGAAGTATTCGTTCCTCAGCGGGTCAAAGTACCGGATGCGCTTGTCGGGGTCCCCCAGGAGAGTGTCGGGGAACTGAGTGAGAGTCTTGAGCTGAGTTTCAAACTTGAGGCCCGACACGTTGATGACAACTCTCTCGCAGCAGCCCAACTCGTTGTAAACATTCGCATATCCGGACTGAGGGCGTCTGTCAGTGATCGAAACGGTTTCGTCGTCGTCATCATCATCATCATCCATGTTGCACAGAAAACTGGACCTCTTGATTCCGCGCTCCTCCTCCTCCTCCTCACGCTCGTCCTCCTCCTCTTCCTCGGCACCCTCTTCCTCTTCGATCATGATGTCCTCCTCGGAGCCGAGCAGCGCCAGTTCGGAGTGGCGCAGGTCCCCGCCGAGAGTGGTCCGGCTGCGTCTCCACCGTCCGACGCCGCGTTGCTTTTTGCGCTCTCTGAGGAGTCTCTGCTTCTCGGGATCCTGAGAGGACAAGGAGGAGGTGGAGGAGGAGGAGGAGGAGGAGGGGCGCGAGGCGGTACCGCCGCTGTTGATGTTGGCGTTAGAGGAGGCGCTGCGAGACGGATGCTGGCGGTTGTTAAGGAGATGCGCGCCCGAGGAAGCGGAGGTGGTTGTGGTGGTGGATGAGGAGGTGGACCCCCCAGAGCAGACACCTCCCCCATCCGCTCCGGATCCGCTCTCGACTGCCACAGCCGCTGCAGCCGCTCTGGACTGGGCCGCCTGGCGCTCCCTTTCTCGCTCCCGCTCCCGGGCGCGGGCTTGGGCATATCCGTACGGCAGGTGGCTGTTGCACCCGCCGTCCGCACCCACCATTGCAAACTCCATTTTAACTCAGAAGGTTCCGTCCTTGAGCGAAAAAAAATGCTGGAAGGAGGCCAGAGGGTAGAAGAAGTTGTAGCTGGGATGAACCACTCAGCCTTGGATCGAAATAGTCCACTCAGTTAAACCCATACTGCGTGTGCGCTCATTAATGATAACTAATAATCTTTTGACACAGGCCCCCAGGATTTTATGGCATAATTTTCCCAGCAAAGGTGAAGGCCGTGGGGGGCCCGGCCTGTTACGCACACGCATGCAGAAGCCTTGATGTGGTCAGCATCGTGAGTCACACGCAGTATCTTTTGTGGTCACCATCAGGTGGTTAATTCCACAACATGCGTCTTTCGATCCTGCTTGCCGTGGTTACTACCGGTTGCCATTTTATGAGAGACATTAAAAAAATGGGATCCTTGCTGTTATATTATGGTTCCGGTGACTTATATCCTGTGATGTGGTCTGCAGTTGCAAGAAAATAACACAAAACGAATCGTTAGTTGAACAGTTCAGCCCACTATATGCATAATGTGCAGTGGAGAAACTTCATTTTGTTGTATTATTATTATTATCGGGGTGAAGGTATTGATCAATCAATGCTGCGCGCATTTTTTCTCATTGCTGCTTATTTGTAGCTCGTAGCATGTATACTTACATGTTAAAATGGACCAAACACCTCCCAGACGTATCAGCCGGCGGCGACGAGTGTGCTATAGTGAAGATGCACTTCCAAATTTCCGCGTCAGTTTTAGATGCAAAATGACCAATGCCTTGTCGAAGCCAAGCTGCGACCACCTCATTCCCTACATCCATGCGATCTCTGACGCACTCTGAGAAGGGCACTTTTTTGCTGCGTGTCGACGTCTCAATTCAACAGGATCTGTTGCGACTTCAGCCCACTGTGTCGGCTCCATCGCCACAACCCCTCCTCAATGCAGGCGGTGGTAAAGGTTTAAAAAGGTGTGCGAGCGGCGATATGACATCGTTAACAGCCACGCACGGCTGAGGCGAATGCATGCGAGGATGGGCAAAAGTTTACCTTCACCCCAGTGAATGCAAACGGTCCCTGCATGGCGGATTGTGAGCATCACACATCTGTCTGTCTGCAGCTGTAGCCTTACCTATCCTCCTGTATCCCTGCCGTGCGCGCGCGAATCTGAGTGCGTATGTGTGTGGTGGAGCCTCTCAGTGCGAGATAGAGGCGCTCTTGTTGCAAAGTGTGCAGGCGGTGCTCGATCCTCCCCCAGTGGATGCACTCGCTCACTGCCACCGTGCTGCAGTCTCACATCTATGAACACCCTTTGTGCTCCCTACCCAAAACCATCAATTAGACGTGTACACCACTTCATTAGGGATGAAGTGAAGTGGCAGAGGAGGAGAGATCGTGAGGTCGGCCTGGTATGTCACTTTATGACGTTTAATCCCTAGTGTGTATGTACAATAGCTGCACAACTGAGCGCTCAATTTCCCATGGGATGTATCGAGCCATCTATCTGTCTATCCATCTATTCATAGTATGCGGTTTTTCCGTTTGTTCAGCAACACGTGACTTTTCATGTTACTTGGTTGCAAAACTATGACTCCCCCAAACACACACACATATAACAATACGTAAATACATTACAAAGCAGATATTGAGCGTGAACGCTGAAAAATGCTGTCACTGATCTGAAATGTCTCAGAAGTGGATCAGTAATATTGTGCTCAGTAATATCAGTGGTGGGCCATGCACGTTGTGCCTGGGCCTTCAGTGGATATACTTACTCAACTACCTGTTCATACCACCACGATCCCATCGCAGTAATACTTGTAGAAACCATCAATACTACAACAAAATGAAATACAGCATGCAACTGTGCCACATACTCTATGTACAGCATCTGAAGCAGTTCAGAAATATTTATCTAATAACATGACGAAAATAAAAATAAAAATGTGAAGTAAAACACACTTTACTCACCAGAACTGCTGATTATTACATGCATTAATATGTGCATCATGCTACAGACATTCGAAACTGGCTGTAACAAGTTTTGTTCTGACCACCCAATCATTGGAAGGAAAAATGCTGATGTCACTGAGGGCCAGGCCCCAGCTGTCCCCGGGCAGATAAATTTGAAATCAGACAAAGAAAGAGTTTGCCAGTTTATTAAGTTACATTGGCCAGCTCTCCTAATGCTGAAGGTCATGGGCAGTTTAGATTGACATTGCAGCACACAGAGGCTGAAATCTAATTGGACAAAAAAAAAAAACAACAACAAAAAAATCCCCTCAATTTTCACATAGGCGCAATGGAAGCAATGCAGCCAAGAGAAATGCAATGAAATGAAAAGAATACAGTTAATCGTAAAACAACAAGTAATTTCACTGAACAAATGTCAGTTTAATTTAATTCAAGACTTTAAATTGTCCAATGTTGTGAATGGTCTATTAAGTATGTGCGCTGTGATTGGCTGGCGACCAGTCCAGGTTGTATCCCATCCGTCTCTCATAGCAGGGATAGGTTCTATCTTCTCTAACAAGGACAAGTAGTATATTGAAAATGGACTGATGTCATACAGAAAACATCCAGTTTCAAGGCAAAAATCGTTATTTGGACACACACAAACAATAGCAGGCTTGCCTTGATAAAAATAGTGCTTTGAGAAGAGACCATTGTTGTAAATCAAGGAAATTCAGAGAAGTATGAATACATCAACCTATAATCTAATGGTGGAATTAGTCCAACAGTGAGAAATAAAGGTGTCAAAAAGAAATTAGGAATGCATTACCTTCTTTGATGGAGAAGTGGAGGCATTATAATGGCAACACTGAAAACATGTTTTTGAATTGACTCAAATTTAACTTGTCAAGTGGTTTCACGAAATCAAAACATCTGGATTCGGTTAATTTTTTTCAGTAGACTATACTTGAACTTAAAAAAAACGATCTCATTATTTTCAGTTTATTGTAAGGATTCATCCTTAAAAGTTTGTCAGGTGAGCATCAAACCCAATACTCAGCAAAGACATCATTGTTTTCAAGACATACCATGACAATGAGGGATCGGTCTCTGAATTGAAGGTCTAAGGCAGTGGTTCTTAACCTGGGTTCGATCGAACGTTAGGGTTTGGGTGAATCAGTCTTAGGGGTTCGACAGAGCCTCTGCCATGGGGGATAAGACACACCCGACTCAACGTGTCAATTAGTTATGACACGCCTTGGCTGGTTCATTTTGTGCACAATTAAAAAACATATACTTTATACTTCTCCTAATTGTTTACTTTTTTTCTGTTTTTAATAAATGTGGGTTTTTATGTCTTGAATTTGGAAAAAAATCATATTTGTATTTTCAGTAATGAAGAGTTCGGTGAATGTGCATATGAACTGGTTCGGTTCGGTATCTCTAACAAGGTTAAGAAACACTGGTCGAAGGCATAAAGATCCAAAATAAATTTCTCATCAAATACTATCAGCGAGCCAACAACTCGCTAAACAGAAGTTTGCACAGAAATATCTCCTCAAACGTACTGTGACAGTAAATTCCTTAATTTATTGCACCTTTAGGTCTAATGTGATTGTACACAATCTGCGGGTGCATTGAGCACTGTGGTACTAAATCAGCATGTTGCCCACAATGCCTATTCCCTCTGAATGGTACAATTAATCTGACGGAAGCACTAATTTGAACGAGAACAGCTTGTCAATGCTGACTGCAAAGTCACCAGGAAATTCCCCCATTCCCCAAAAGAGCCATTCTCAGGGGAACATCTAGTTATAATCTTCCCAAAAAGGATAATTTTGTCTCCTGTGCACCCTCTTTCAACTAGAATCATGGTATTTCCATTGTATTGGATATATTGAAGGTTCCACTGGTTAGCGTGTCGGGCTCACAGTACAGAGGTGCAGGGTTCGATTCCGGCTCTGGTCTTCCTGTGTGGAGACTGTATTTATTTATCTCTCACAACTGCAGTGGTTTGTCAGACGGCAGCGATTCCTAATTAGCTGTGGTACACTATTGTGCTGTGAGAGTTCGTCAGTAGCACCACGGGAAATTATCCGACTCCATTTGTCTGAATATGATTTATTAATAACAAATATATCTTTGTTCATCAATCTATGCCGGTGGCGTATAATGGCAAGCCGAACAATAAGATGCTCTTCCATTAAATGTTAGAGGGCACAATAAAGCTCTACCTTTTGCCATTCATACAACAGAATAAGTCAATGCCTGTTGCAAGTATATTAGCTCTGTGTTCAATTAAACAGGCCCGGATTTCACACAAAGTGCGTGTGTGAGTAAATTGAGACGAGATCATAATTATTTGAGGATTCATACACTTTGTGACATTTTTGTTTGGTGATTTGCCGAAGGTTTTCCTGATTGATAAGTTTTGAAGTGAGTTCTTTTCTATTCTGCAGATCACATCAAGCTTCCACCCATCATATTGATCATGCATCTAACTTAGCACAAGGGGGGGATATAAGGCCGCTATTGCTCGTGATAGAAGGGGACAGAGTCAAAACAGCACAGGTGCGGACCATATTCGAGAACAGTCGAGCAGAACAGGTGCAACTGCTCATAAAATCTGTCTGTGTGATGCATAGGGCTGACTATAGCTAAGTTCGATTAGCAGGGACTGCTGGTATTGGGAGGGCTCCACCAAAAAATATTTCCTAGATTTTAGCGGTTCCGAGTTGTCAAGACGTTAGGTATTTATAGAATGCACCTTTGTTTTGTGGCCTCATCTTTTCTGTGCAAAAAGGCCAGTCAAGGCTTAGCAACAACGGATGTTCATAAATCAGATGAATAGACATAGGAGGTTGGTATATGGAATGTCGTATCAGACCGTATTGCTAGTTGTGACATGAATTATGCTTCCGATCATATTGTGGCTCTTTGGGGCATGAGAGACTATCATGTCTCCAACAATCAGTCTCAATTTCCGTAATTTTGTTCCATCGTATTTTTCAAACCTGTTACCCTCTGCCTTCAAGTTGTAATCATCTCAACATATATAATAGTGCAGCCCAAGGCTCGTTTGAGATCGTAAAACTCACAAATTATGAAGCATTAAATCATGAGGATGACTGCAACCATTTTGTCCCTCATCTCTTAATAATTCCCTTTGGATATTATCCATAATCTTCTATCATTTTGATTTCTGGTGAACTGGACACCTTTTGCAAGTATTAATTCTTACGTTAATGTTTAATGTCAAAGGAATTATCCAATGCATATTAATTATATCAGACCCAACATCAAGATAACATGTTAATGTTTTTGTGTGTGTGTGTGTGTGTGTGTGTGTGTGTGTGTGTGTGTGTGTGTGTGTGTGTGTGTGTGTGTGTGTGTGTGTG